TATGGAGTTGAATATTAGTAGCCGTAAATCTGAAAATTGGGTCGGCAGCAACGTTTATAAAATAAAATTACATGCGCGGTTATGGCTTAAATCTCACGTTAATGAGAATTCATGCAAGCCCGAGAGAAATACACCACTGCAAACATGGTTATTAAAAACCATATTAACTGTGATGCATTTCTCTCTTATAAAACAATTTATTGTTCCGTGAGCGGAACTGTACCATTTGATCCACTATCAGGAACTGCGGCCCGGGTATTTGAAACTACTGCCCTAAATGAACGACTTTCTTTTGTTGGAAACTCGAATTTATAAATAAAACTGATCGGCAAATGTGAACACATAACCATTTATTACAATTTTGAACCTTTGCAATTATGAACACAGAGATAAGCTATTTATTGCACATTATGAACCCACAAGCCATTTATTACAATTGTGAGCATATGAACCCTTAAAAGTCTCGGAATTTCTGTGACCTTTTTATGGAACCCTAGGGTTCCGTGAGACATTTTTTTGAAAAAATCTGCTTTAAATCACGAATTTCATCAAATATAGGATTGGAGTCAAGTAGTTAACTTTGGGGTACTATGGTACTTACTTTTATAGTAACAATACACCAGTTTCTTAAATATTTAAAGGGCTTCTGTCTTAGAAAAAAATCATTTCTTATTAGCAGGTATATAGGAAGGCTTTATAAACTGTTCATTACTTTATTTTCTCTTTTAATATAGTTTAAAAACGAATTTACCATATTAACCACTTTATTTTTAAATACATATTATCTTTAAATGCATATTTTCCTTAAATACTTATTATTCTTATAAAAAACTTATTTTCCTTTCTAAATCAACTTAATGGTTAGGACTAATATAAAATGCACTGTGTTCTTAAAGCCACATTCGGTCCCAGTTGTGGTTGGGGAACGTGGTGCGGAGTTGGATCGATTAGAATTATCATTTGCATATGATCTAAATGATTTGCATATGATTGTCTTAGGATTAGTGCTAAAGATCAAACCGCCATCCATAATCACTATATATGACCACATCACCAGTGTAACTCTAAAGAGAGGCCCTAAACAACTAAACACTTTTCTTTCATTAGAAATTTTATAAACTGTCATTTATTACACAATGCTAACTGTTGTAGTTTTATTGGCTTCATTTTATTGAAGTATCAAACTGAAGTTTGCCTATAACTGAAGTTTTAAAATGTTTTTAAACAGTTAACCTTGGAATCTTTTTTACACAATTTGTTTAAAGTTGAGCAATACTTTTCCCCCTTCATTATTCAGGCTCTAACACCAATGTGTTTCCACAATTTCCAAAATCTTTTCTTAGCATTTCTTGTAGTGAGTCAAGGAAGTCTCGAAACTTGAGCGACTTCTTTTGTGTGTTTTTCTTAGTTTAGTTGGCTTCTAACAGGAAGAAGAAACATTATTAAATCTGCCAACAAATATATATTTACCTTACGGAGTTCTATTTGGATGATGATAACAGTTAGCATTAATGCGGCAGTTTACTTGTGATTAATACTTTATTATAATCACATGGTGTTTATCATTTGTTTTTTACTATTAATGTTTTTCTAATAAAAAGCAAAATATGATTTTTAAAGATATTGAAAACGTCAAACTTTTTTTTTACAACTAGAACTACTACCAATTCTAATAATAATAATGATGATAATAATAATTTTTACTTAAAATGAGCAATAGCTTAACGGACAGCTTCAACTACATAAACGCAATAATTGATGAGAACTGCATTTCTTTAGGATTAGCCTATTTTCTACAGAAAATTATGGAAACTCAGTCAAATTTTCCATTTTTGTTACGATTAGAGCGATGGTGTCGTCAGGTGAAATGTTCTACTCCGACATTGGACTTTTTTGAAAGCTCGACTCAGTCTCAAACTTAATTAAAATTTCCACCAAATCTCAGGAAAGTATTTCTATTATTACTAAGAAATTGTTAATTTCAAATTATATATTTCCATTTTGTCATGTACAATTTAAATAAATGGTGTTTCATTTAACATAGTGGCTTCATTAAACATACATAAACCCTTTATTGCAACAATGAATATTCACGAATTAGGACGCAGTTAAAACTGATACATTATATTCATTCGAATACTTTTTTTTAAACGTAATTTACTAACTTAGCAAATTTTTTTAAATTTGGAATTGATAAATTAAATGATTACTTACTAATAATCTACTAATTAATCTTGATTTTTAAATAGTTTCTTTGATTTTTCTGTCATAATTTGGTTAATATAGGCTCAAAAGCGTTCAAATATGATTAATTAAGCATATATGTGATAAGTAAAAATTTAAATCGTCTTTTTAATATTTGTTAGACTAATATTTCTGCTTACATAATTATGAATATTTGTCTAATTTTCATAAGATCAAAGTACTTTTTTTTCTTCTTTTAATCTACAGGACTTAACAACTAGCGAATTAGGTCCTTCGAAGTCGAAATCGGGCAAATGTTTCACACTACAACTTGTCAAGTATTTTTTTCGATTCCCACTCTTGAGAAAGTTTCTTCAACTCCTTCTCCACAACCCTGGTTATGTAGTATTTTTATTTACGTCACACCTGATCTGCACAATGGAGTATTGGCGGCAGTCTGGGAAACATCCCTGAAGATGATCCGAAGATATGCCATCACAATTTTGATCCTCAACAGAGAGGATAGCTCCACCACTTCGGTAGGTCGACGACCCGCGCACGAAGTCGAGCACTCTACGGTTGAAGAGTTTAACGAGAAGCTTATACCGTGAACCCTTGGTCTCTACGCAGGCTGATCAAAGTCGTCAACCCACCCGTTCATTGGCCTCAGCCAGTGATGCTTGACTTTGTTGTTCTATTGGGAACTGTGTCTTTACTATCAGTCTACTGCGAGCCGCGATGGCTCAGGGGATAAAGCGTTCGCCTTCCAATGAGGCGAGCCGGGTTCGAATCCCTGTCGATACGAATTCCGCATTCGGCTTGCACCGACCACAGTGCTGACGTGAAATATCCTCAGTAGTAGACGGATCATCGGTTAGAGTCCCGTTGCCGTCAGGCTAACCGTGGGAGGTTCTCGTGGTCTTCCTCTCCATGTAACGCAAATGCGGGCCAGTTCCATCAAAAAAGTCCTCCGCAAAGGAAAAATTTCTCCTAATACTCAATCCAGGAGTTCCCTTGTCTTCTGGATTGGATTCAAAATTAGAAGGTTACGGTGTTGAACATTAGTTGTCGTGAACCCATGAATTTGGATCGGCTGTTCAACGATAGTTATAATATCAGTCTACTGATAATCTGGTTATGATGATACAAATTTAATGATTTGAAATATTATTTTTGCAGAAGTAATTAAATAGAAAATAAATTTGGGATTAGACAGGTATTCTCATAGAACACTTCACAAAGTAAAACTTTGGCTGAAATGATGATGTTAGAAGTAATCAAAGAAAAACGTTTTCTTTTAATTTGCTTTGTTTTGAAAAACTAATTTCTAAGCAATACTGAGGAAAAAGGTGATATATGAAGTGAGCAGAGGGTAAAGCAACTACCTCATCTGATGATTTGCCTATGTTAACAGTTTAAGATGTTTCCTGATTAAGATGTTACTATTCTCAATATTACAAAGCATTCATAACGTTATATAGCGCAAATAAAAATTTAGCGCAAAAACATCCATACAAAATTCAGCAATATTTCAATTTAGTCTATAAAAACTAAATATTATAGTCATAAAAGTAATCAGTTTTTGTTGTTGTTGTTTTAGATGGTAATTTTCAGCAGATTGATCAGCAGCTGACGCTCATATATATAAACTTCTAATAGGGTTTCAAAATAATTAATTGCCAAAAACTAATATTTAAACGAGAAAGCAAAAAAAGAAAAACTTGATTAAAGCCAGGCGAATCATTCACGAGGGAAGAAAAGCGATTGGACGAAACTGAGGAAGATATTACTATTAAGATCTATATGGAAAATAAAGGTGTTTTCTGGTTTTTTTTCTCACCTTTGTTTTCCCTTTTTCGTTGGCAACTTTACGTTTTATATTTCAAGATCTCCTATTGCTTAATCCGGCATTTAAACAAGTTTTAATGCTTTCATTTCCGTGTTTCATTAGAGTTCAATAAAGAGATTTTATTAAATTATTCAATTAAATGCTAATTTAGACCCTTAAGGAGCATACTTTTTTGCTTCATTTTTGACAGGGATTCCAAAAATTTTGAGCAAAAATGACGTAATCCCCTGCTTATTTATTATTCTTTTTATTTGTGCAACTTACAGGGAGAAACAAAATTCCGGTTAAAACTCCTATACTATCTGGCAATGACATTTCTGGCAAAAAAGAAAAAACAGTTATGGTTATAGAAACCAAGTATACACTATTTAAGAAATTCATTTTGTAGTTTTTCTGGTCAGATAAAATTATAGTTCCTATACCTCACATTAAAAAAAAAAATTCAAGACAGAAAAGTCAATTTAGCCGAATAAATGGTTTTTATGACATACTCTAAAGGCATCATGATAGATTTACCAAATTTTATCACATATTATAAAACTATGTTTAATAATTAATTTTAACAAATTCATTACCAAAGCGCTTCCCTAAAAATTACCGAATTTTTGGGTGTTCCATAGAGCTAGGAACACGGTAACTTTTATCATATTCTGGTATTCTGGTAAAATTATAATTCCTATACCACACATTAAAAAAAATACAACACTGAAAAGTAAATTTAGCCAAATAAATGGTTTTTATGCCATATTTAAAGGCATCATGATAGAATTACCAAATTTTATCGCATTTTATAAAACTATATTTCATTATTAATTTTAACAATACATTACAAAAGAGCTTCAATAAAAATTACCGGCCATTTTATGTTCTCATAGAGCCAGAAACGTGTTAAATTTTATCATATTCTGGTATTTTTTATCATACTTTTCTTCTCAGCGTATATTTAGTTATCTTAATTACTACTTACATTCTGCTACAATCCATTTTTCTGCTTTTTTCACTCTCTTGAAAAACATATTGGCACCCTTTGATTTCTGATTACAATCATCAGATAAAGATTCGGCAATTTTTCGGCATAATTCTACCTGTTCTTCGATAGTTGGATAAATCGAGTTCGGTTCTTCGAAAAAGCTCGATGACGAAAACATTTTCTCTGAAAATAAGTACATTAAATTATATTTTTCTTCTAATACAAAGCTATGACAAGATTGATAATAAAACAATTAAACATTACAAAAACGTTTTTTGAGTGACAACAAAAATTCACTAAGGGTCCCTTTCAGACAGATAAGAGATACTACCTCCCCCCATGTTAAGCTAAAGGTAATTATATGTTCGGAATTTCCTTATTCATAATGAGTAACTAATTAATATTTTTAAATATTTGCTTTATTTTGTTCATTGAAATAATGCTTTGTTAAACTTAGTTATCGAATTTTAACTTGCAAGTTTGTAAGCATTTTTAAAATTTTTAAAAGTTCAAACTCGAATTCAACGAAAGTTCAACTTTAAAGTCGAAATTCGGTAACTTAGTCAAAATTATACATTTAAATGAATAATCTAAAGCAGAAATTATACTGAGGAATTTTTGTTCTTGTTTTCTGTTGCATGAGAGTTATTTTTAAAACTGGTCTTATATACTTTAATATTATTGATTTTAAATCTGTAATCGGTTTCTCTCCCCAAAATAGTTTTTTTAAATGACATTTTTAGTCTATTTTTTGTTGAAATGTACAAGTTTAAAAATGTTATATATAAACAAAGGTAGCGAAAATTTTTTAGGTGAGTTAGAGCACATCATTAGGATTCAAAGTGCACAGAAACCCATTCCCAGGAATGTCATCATACGCCGGTAGGAGCTCTTCCCCTTTAATGAACTGTTTCCCTGTGTGCTTCAGAACAAGTTATTATAGAGTGCCTCAATGGCTCAGTTCGCCTTTTTATGAGGTGAACCGATTATTCGAATCCGAGCGATGACTGATCGAGACGAATTCCGCACCCGGCTCGCACCGACCACAGTGCAGACGTGAAATATCATCAGTGGTAGACTGAACATGGGTTAGAGTCTCTTCACCGTCAGGCTAACCGTGAGAGATTCGCGTGGTCTTCCACTTCATGTAACGCAAATGCGGGTCAGTTCCATCAAACAGTCCTCCACGAAGGCAAATTTCTCCCAATACCTGATCCAGGAGTTCCCTTGTCTTCTGGATTGAGTTCAAAAGTACAAGGCTACGGAGTAGAACCCAAAAATTGGGTCAGCCGTTCAACGACGATTATAAAAATAAAAATAAAAAGTCTTTATGGAAGAAACGTCCCCAGTCACGCATGACGAATTTACCAGGAATGGGTTTCAAGGTATTTTTAATCCTGATGATGTCCCATAGCTCCACTATAACAAATAATTTGCTAAAAATGCCATTTAAAAAAAATCTATAGCTTTAGGAGCAAAATAAATTTCAGATTTAAAATACTTACACCCAATTAGGCCGCATCGAGTATTTGCATAAATGAAACAAAAAAAAAATTGTTTGAACC